GGAGAAGGAAAGCTGAGCAGAAGCTTCCATCACTTTGCTTCTTGACTGAACGTGACCAGCTGCCTCGAGCTCCCCATCACGATGGGGAACTAAACTAAAACAAAACTTTTCTCTAGTAAGTTGCTTCTATTAGGACATTTTATCACAGCAACAGGAAAAGTACCTAATGCAGAACCCTCCCCCGCAATCCTGACTACTTCGATTTACAGGTGGTCATGAGCTACAATGATGTACCTTGTGATTTCTATCATGGTGTAAAGCAATGCTTGTCAAATTGCTGCTTTTCACTTTCACCGCGGAAGCCAACATGCAAAATCATTTCTCTTTATTGTAGGTAGACTTTTGCTGCAGGGTAATGTAAATGTGGGCATGTTTAAGACAGCTGTAACTAAGCTTCCATGGTTGGAAAGTTAAGTGTATCCCCTGCATCTTCAACTCAGGATATTTCAAGTTTACAGTGAGCCAGGATATACCCCTGCTATGAGTTGAGGGACATCTGCATATTGTCTTGAAACTAGATATATTCACTCCTGTGTTACTACATAGTTTTCAAATTTTAAAACTCTTCTAGTTTATCTTTCTACCTAACCTTTAGAATGATCTTGCTCATATCTACCAAAAATTCATGCTGGGATTTTGTGTTAAAATGTGTTATCAATTTTGGGGAAATTGAGACCTTTGCTATGTTGCCTTCCAGTTTATAGCATGGCTCCTGACGCTCCAGCTCTTAAGAAAAAATCCTTGATTTCTGTGATCAGCTTTCAACAGTTTTACTGTATCCAACTCTTACACATATGTGTTAGGATTCTAGTAGGCATCTAACTGGCAGGATCACAAGAGGAGTATTTTTGATGTTAATATAGACATTCATTACTGCTATGTACAGAAGCAATCAAGTTTTGTGTGGTCATCTTGTATCCCGAAGGCTAACCCCAATGCTTTATTAGTACTAAGAGTACTTTGTAACTTCCTATTAGGGAATTGTGTAATCTCAAATAGGAAAGGTTTTATTTATTTATTTTTCTTTCTGTCACACTCCTCTATTACCTTCATGACTTTTTAAAAAATAACCCACTTGGTTTGATTAGGATTGCTTGCCCTTGCATGAATGTGGGTTATTTACTGTAATGGGCAGCTGGTCAGTGGCTACACTCCTTCCCCCAGCAGCCATTACCTGACAAGAGAGTCTAACCTCTCCCCACCAGTCTGTCATACTGATGGGCACAATCTGGTCCAGGTCTTGCTTCTAGAGATGGCTACAGCCACTGCGAGTTGATGAATGCAATCGCCACATAACAGGAAGCAGCCAGTGTTTCACAGAACTCCTCTGTGATGTTACCTGAGCCTCCAGAGAGCAGGGAGTTGGACCAGTGGGCTCCTCTTGCCTGGTTGTCAATAGTGTGTCGTGTAGGGTCCACTGCTCAGTAAGACCACTGATGACTTTTCTCTCCTAGCAGTCTATACAGCACTTTGTAGCACAGTGAAAGCTGGCCAGCAGGGAGAAAGTTCCCAGGTCAGTTCTAGGCTGATGGATTCTGAGCTTACAACCAAGTGTGTGATATCTTCAGGTCTTACTACCTAGTTCTGGTGTGCCCAAGAATAATGGCAATACCCTCTGGGGCGTCCCTGACTGGCAAATCCTAGCAACTCCCACACCTGGCAATGAGATTCTCACTTAACAACCAATGGCTTCTGGGAGCAGCAGCACCTACCCATGTAGAATACTTCCATTCAGACTCTTTTCTTTTTAAATATATTTTTAATTGGCTTACAAAGTGTGAGTTTCTATAAGGCCTTTCTTTCTTATTGATGGTTTCATTTTAAGGACTTGGTACATTTCAAGTTGGTTTTGGTTTTCTGATAACCATTTGTGTTCGTAGCTGTACTGTCCTCATATTGGTAATTTATACCCTTCTTCCTTTTGTCGGGGTGGGGGGGAGGTCAGTCTTGCTAGAGACTAGTCAATTTTCAGAGACAGCTCTGATTTTTTTCCTACTTTCTCTGCATTTCATTGGTATCTGTGCTTCATTGTTTCCTCCTTGTTTTGCAGGTTGCTTTTTTTTCCTTTTGGATTTTATGCTCCTAGATTCTGGAGAGATTTGAGTCTTTTCCTGCTTGCTAATGTACTCATTGGGTGACTGAATTTCCCTCTTGGCACTGCGTAAGCCCACTCGTGAAGGAGACCTTACCACTGAGCCGAGGTGAATGTCCTGACTCTCAGAGTGGATAACCTATCAAAGCCTGAACTTTCTCCGGGTAGATAGCCTATCAAAGCTCGGCGCTCTGTGGTAGCTGACTGAATTAGACTAATTCTTGTCTTTTCCTAGGGAGAGGAGGATTTTTCTGAGGCTCTTTAGTTTGGTACTTTGACAGCCTGTCTAGCCCTAGATCAGGGATGTGAGAGGGCGTTGTTAGGGCTCGGGCTGCCCTACCAGTGTACTGAAGACTGGTGGCTCAAACAGCTGGACTCTCATGGGTCTGAAGGCTGAACGCCTGAAATCAAGGTGTTGACTGGTTCCTGCTGCATGCTCTGAGGAAGAATGTGGGTTCAAGTCTCCTTCCTAGCTGCCAGTGGCTTGCTGCCAATGTTTGGCATATCTTGGCTGACAGAAGCACAACTGTTATGCACCTTCACCTAACAGTCCTTCAGTGCACATCTGTGTCTCTAGAGCTGTGAACAGTGAACTTCTGCTGTATACAAGTTATCCGGCCTGAGGTAGTTTGCTACAGTAGCCTAGAGTAAGACAGCAGGTCATCGTACAAATTAACTGGATAAGTGAGAAGCTTAATTATTTTTGAAGGATTTGTATGTGTGCGTGTGTGTATGCAGGCTTGCATGTGCCACAGCTTGCCTGTACAAGTTCAAGGACACCATCATGGAGTCTGCCTTCTCCGCCCACATTTCCATGGTTCTGGGAATTGGATTCTAGTTGTCAGGCTTGTGCAGCAAATACTCTAACTGCGGAGCTGTCCCGCCAGCCCCATTAATTATCTTACTCAGTTTTCCGTTTTGTGAAGAAAAACAACAAACAAAACCCCCAAGCAAGCCATGGTGTAAAGAAAGCTGATACTTAAGTGCAGTGCTGAAGTCGTGGTAAAGCCAGTCTGCTCATGACTTGAAAAACCCATGTAGGGAGGCAACTGGCCCTTAGCACACTCTTCCACTCTCCTCACAGCTAAGGCCCAAGACTGCTGGATCCTAGACCTTGCTTTCGGTGCTCAAGTTTCATCTATGAGGCTGCCCTGAGGAGACAAAGTGGTCCAGGACTTAGGAGATGGTGAAGATATACTTTAAATTTCTAATAATTTCTGTTTGTTTGGGGGATGTACACGATGTAGGCAAGATCAGATGGGTTCAATGTGGTTTCGCTGTAGGCCCCATTTCTAAGCAGTTTCTCCTCATCTTCTAAGGATAGCACGCACAGCCTTTTTTCTGTATTTGCTTGGGGTTTTGGTCCCTTTTACTTTCGTTGTGCAGTGCAGGGTCAACCTCAAGGCTTCAAACGCGTTAGACCAATGCTTTATTTTCATTGTGCCCAGTTAGAAACTAGTCCCTAACATGAAGGTACCGGCAATCCCATGGTTTTCCTCACAAGGGGCTTTTATTTGTGGGCACAGTAAGGGCATGGAACTCTGCCGACATTTTCAACGTATCTTTGTTCCCCATCTGCCTGCTTACAGAAAGTGATACTGTATTGAGAGCCAGGAGACACAAATCCAGACATTTGCCTCTGTGTATTCTGCTTACTACAGGATAGTTTTCTTTTTTATTGTTTTTCAGGTGTGTGTGTGTGAATGTGCGTTTACCTGTGCGTGTGCACGCAGAGGCCAGAGGGTGGGATCAGGGGTCCTGCTCACTCACCCTCCTCCTCACTTCCTTAAGACAGGGTCTCTTGATGAACCTGAAGCTAGGATGGCAGCCAGCAAGCCCCAGCGATCTTCCTGTCTCTGCCCCACATAGCATGAGGCTTATATTTGTGTATGGCCATGCCCAGTCTTTTTACCTGGGTGTCTGGATCTGAACTCAAGTCCTCATGATTAAGCATAAAGTTCTGTTTCTTACTTGCCAAGCCCTACAATACTAGTTTCGCTGATTTCGAAAGCTTAAGTTTAAATGGTGCTGAGATATGTGGTGTGTGTGTGTGTGTGTGTGTGTGTGTGTGTGTGTGTGTGTAAGAGACAGAGAATGTTTGTGTATATTCCATTTTTAAGGAACAGGTTATCAGATTATCATTCTTGTGTATTTGTTATGTAAATTTCATTGTTCATTTTCTTGCTATTCCTTCTGTAGAAAGTGGACACCTGTAAAGCAGTTGAATTTTGCATTCCTTTATTGTTTTACAAACAGTGGTGATTACAAAGGAGACGGCGGCAACGAGCAGCTCTGTGCCTCAGTGGCAGCATGGCTGTCTGGCACAGTGACTTTTACCGTGCACACTGCACATTTGAAGTTGTTGGTGTTGATTAAGGCAGAGGCATTGCAAAAGTGAAGGTAAAAACACCAAAAACATATCCTTCAGCTTCTAAAACGAGTCTTAGAACGCTTACGTAGTCCAGTGGACCTATCTAAACATCTTTCACTTTTAGAAGTCCTTGAGACTTTGTGCCCATCACAGAGTGATTGCACTCTGTTTCTTTACGTTTGGAATTGAGTGCGCTCTTTTCTCGCTGCCTGCTACACAGGAAATGGGACCTAGCATACATGATTAAAGTCAGAAATAATTCATTTTAAATCCCAAACCCCTAGACAGGAAAGAAACCCTTTGGGGCTAGCCATATTTATTCTATCCTAACAGAACAATTAGAATGTGAAATGCAGAAACAAAAGCAGCTTTATGGAACAAAATCCTATTTTCTAGCTGCCTTACAGAAGTGATTTGCTCACTCGTGGAGACTAAACCAGATTTCTTGGTTTCATGAGTTCGATTTGCAAGTGTTTCACTAGAGCTTTTTCTTTTTTCTTTCTCCTGGAGAGGAAACAAACATAAAAGGTGCAAAGCTCATATGCGTCTGCCGTGCTTGAGTCTGGTGTATTTGTTCAGTGTGAACTCCGTGTGCCTCTGCAGCTCGTCGATGTGCGTGTTGAGCAGCTTCTCCAGCTCCTTGGCCCGCCTCTCCTCTTCCATCAGGAAGTGCTGCGTTGATAGGGAAGCCGGGAAGGACATATCTGGGGGAGACTGAAGAGAGGGGAGGAAAGTGAGGTGAGACATGCAGCTCCCTGACAAGCAGCTTTGCAGCTTGGACAAAACACCTGGGCAGAGCTCTCCTCCCCTTGTAACAGAGTTCCTGCTAATGAAACCCTCAGGAAGTTGAGTCAGCTCAGCACCAGGCTGTTAAAGAGCTCTAGAAAGGAAGACTGCAGTGACCCGCTGCAAATCCAGGATGGATGTAAGTACCAGGGATCTCAAGCACAACATACTTGGCTGACTTGCAAGGCTAGTAATCCAGAACATAGACAAGTTCCATTTGATGTCCTTGGCAACCCCAGTGGATCCAATAGCAGAGTGGCTCGCTTAGTGAGAGCTACTTAGCTAGCTTCGGTCGACTCTCAGGCCAGCTGAGCCCAGGAGCTATGCCACCACCAATTAACGAAAGGCAGACCTCACTGGGTCCCTCACTCTGGGAGTGCTCTGTATTCCTGGGCTAGCCCTTCCTGCCTCAGGGCATTAACACTTACTTTGATCCTCTCTGGGATGACTCAGCACATGGGCATGTACAGTTTATACATGTTACTGTATGTTAAAACCTGTTTGGGTATGGTGGTTCATGCCTGTAGTTCTAGCACTTGAGAACCTGATCCGCAAGGACTGCTGCAAGCATAAAGCCAGCCTGCACCACATGGTGAATTCCAGGTCAGTCTGGGCCAAAGTGAAAGCCTGTCTCTAAAAAACTAAAAACTAAAAACTAAAAGGCATCGCTAGCAATTCCTGCCAGAGTATTAGGGTCTCTTTCTGTTCAAGATAGGTGTAGTCAAATGATCTGTAGCGCATCCTGCAGTCTTACTTCAGAAATGGTGCCACATCCTTTTATTCCCAGCACACTGGAGGCAGATACAAGTGAATCTCTGAGATCAGCCTGGTCTACATAGTGATACCCTACCTCAAAATAACAACAACGTCCAAAAGAAAAAAAATAACATTTTAAGCTATTCTGACCTTCTGTTTATTGGTCTCAGTATTAAATAATTTATCCTTAAAGGAAAAATCAGAAAAGTTATTTTCTAGTATCTCACCAGAGGGAAGATTTCATCGTCACTAGCCAAGGGACTTGTCATTTCTTTGCTCTGAAGTGGCAAAGGTGGAAAGGGTGGTGTTGGGCTTCTGCTCAGCTCACAGTCTTGGCTAAGTCTAAAAGAGAAGAAATGGATGTCAGTGTCCTTCCTAAGTAGCTTAGGTTTTTTTTTCTATTGCTGTGATAAAACACCATGAGCAAGGCAACTTATAAAAAGAAAGTGTTTAATTGGGCTTATCATTTCAATGGGTTAGAGATGGCAGCATAAAGAACAGCTAAGAACTCACATCTTGATCTACAACCACAAACCAAAGAGCTAACTGGGAATGAATGGCATGAGAGACCTCAAAGTCATCCCCCACTGACACACCTCCTCCAGCAAGGCCACACCTCCTAATTCTTTCCAAAGAGTTCCACCAACTGGGGACCAAGCATTCCAATATACAAGGCAACGGGAGGCAGTGTCATTCAAAGTACCAAAGGCCATGCTTTTTTGTAGCTAAAGGTTTTGATTTCCCTGATGTTCAACTATGGAGAACCAATCAAATGATTGAGTTTGTCTGGGTATTTCTCTGAAAAAAAAAAAAATATATATATATATATATATATATATATATATATATATATTTAATAATCTCAAATTCACTTTAAAAACTTGGAATGCTCCAACCAAGGACCATTCATGGAGATAACCTAAAACCCCTGCACAGATGTAGCCCATGGCAGTTCAGTGTTCAAGTGGTTCCATAGTAATGGGAACAGGGACTGTCTCTGACCTGAACTGATTGGCCTGCTCTTTGATCATCTCCCCCTGAGGGGGGTACAGCCTTACCAGGACACAGAGGAAGACAATACAGCCACTCCTGATGAGATCTGATAGACTAAGATCAGAAGGAAGGAAAAGAAGACCTCCCCTATCAGTGGACTGGGGGAGGGGCATGGGTGGAGAAGGAGAAGGGAGAGTAGGATTGGGGGGGAGGAGGGGAGCTCTAGGGGGATACAAAGTGAATAAGTTGTATTTAATAAAAATTAAAATAAAAAACTTGGAATGAAGAATGATGAGGCAGAAAACAATGGTTGCTTGTAGCCTCAGCCTTTATAATTCTATGTTGTGCTTTTGGGTTTCTAGGCCATTTTAAATAACTGAAGCATATTTTGACAGAATCTCAAAGCACAGAAACTGCCGCTGTCCAGGGCAGTTCTAAGGAGCTCCCTTAAGGTTCTCTCCTGTACTTCACAGGCTTTCATAACAAGTCATACTTTTGGGGTGTCATCTTGATGCCCATTTGATCTTCAAAAAAGCCTAACAAGGTGGATTTTTACCATAGAAGAAGAAACTAAGCATAAAGTTAAATTATTTCCCTAGTCACTTTCTTTTTTTCTTTCTGGTACTGGGGAGTTGAGCCCAGGTTTTTTCAAAGAATGCTAGGCAAGTGTCCTACTGCTGAGCCACACCCTAGCTCTGTTTGTGTTTTTCACTTGAGACAGGGATCCTCCAGCCTCTCCTGGAACTTCAAGTTTGATTGCTTTAGTGCCTCTGCCTTACCCTGACACCCCAGCCCCACCAAGTATGTTATTATTTGCCACTGAGTCACAAGGCTCATTTCAATAATTTATCTTATTTTTATGTTATTTTTAATTCTTTTTTTCCCGAGATAGGGCTTCTCTGTGTAGCCCTGACTTTCCTGGACTCATAGAGCTCTGTCTGCCTCTGCCTTCGGAGTGCTGGGATTGGAGGCATACCTATGCCACCATGCCTAGCTCAATCATTTATTTTAATTGTATGTTGTATGATTATTTTTTTTTCTTTTGAGATCACAATATAACCACATAATTTTTTTTCTCTTTTCTCCCTCCTATATACTCCTCCTTACTCTCTTTCAAATTCATGGCCTTTAATTGTTAGATGAATGTATATGCTTATGTATCTTAAATGCAAACTGTTCAGTCTGTCTAATGTTACTTTAGATTCCAAAGGAGGGAAGCAAGTGACAGTCTTACACAGCCATGACACTATGAAGCATATCAACAAGCAAAATGGCACTATGAACCTAAGGGTACAGCAGTGGCACAGAAAGCCTTGGCGATAATTAACAGCTCTCTGATTAGACTTTAGATCCACTCAAAAAGAGGAAAATCATGCCTGGTGCTGGAAACCTAGTCGACTACCCAGGCTAGTGAAGTTATGGATCCTGGAAGAGAACCTACAATTTTACTAAACCAGCATAGTCTTTGACTACATTTGAGCTATTTGTCCTTAGACCCACAGATAAGCATAGTCCTTATCCCTCAGGGATGAAACTTCTCTTTGCAAAAGACAGAAGCATTAGAGAAGATCTTAACTAGCAGAAATGTAGAGTTGTGAAACCTAGACCCAGCAGGTATGTCTACAAGATAGCTCAGGGGACACTGTAGAAGACAGAGCAGAAAGGCTGGGTGAGCCGGAGGATCACATTTGCTGTGAGACTATCTCCCACGAATGTCAGAAATTGCACCCATAAAGTCTCACCAACGTGACTGTGCAAATGTGAACTGAACAATGAAAACACCAATGGACATGCCAAAGCAGATGGGGAAAAGCCCATGGTGCCTAAGCCCTACAGAAAGAACTACAGGTAACTAAGGATGCTGAGAGGGAGAAATAAGCTTCCCCAGGGAAGGGTACACCAATTGTTTATCCAATACCAAATGGGCAGCCCTGAAAACAATTGTTGACTTTAAAAATAAGATCACTTCCCTCTGAGGAGGGAGCAGCCTTACCAGGCCACAGTAGAGGACAATGCAGCCACTTTTGATGAGAACTGATAGACTAAGATCAGAAAGAAGAGGAGAACCTCCCCTATCAGTGGATTTGGGGAGTGGCATGCATGCAGAAAGGGGAGGGAGGGTGGGATTGGGAGGGGAGGAGGGAGGGGCTTATGGGGGGATACAAAATGAATAAAGTGTAATTAATAAAAAATTTAAAAAAATTATAACGAAAAAAAAATAAAACCACATCAAATAAGAAAAAAAAATAAGAATAAATTGCTAGGAACTGGTAACTTGGAACTCAAGTCCAAGTTTTCCTGAGGTTGAAACCTACAATAAGCATGAAAAGCACACTATGTAATTGTTTGTGCTAAAATATTGGGTGAAAAAAAAATATAAGTTAAAAAAAAACCAAACCCCTTAGTAAATAAATGAATAATGGCACAAAATGACATACCTTAAAGTTGGACCAAAGATTATCCCACCTATCCTGTTTGGCTAAATAAATGTCTTTCATAAAAATGGAGCTTAAATTTAATCAAATCATCAAAGACCATGAAAACATAAAAATCTGTTTAACTGAAAGCTATTTATCCTTGCTAGTACACCCAGATTTCCCACAGGTGTTAACCATTTTCAAAGCCGTGTTTTGATACATGATACAGCCTACACTGGAGGGGGACACCAACCTAGCCACAAAACCTTTGGCCCAAAATTTGTCTTGCTTACAAGAAGTGAAAGGATTAAGATGGAGCAGAGATTGAAGGCATGGCAAATCAATGACTGACCCGACTTGAGACCCACCCCAAGGGAGAGAGGCAACTTCCGAAAAACTCTACTCTGCTTGCAGACAGAAGCCTAGCATAGCTGTCCTCTGAGAGGCTTCACCTAGTAGCAGCAGCAGATCAAAACAAGTGCAGCCAAACAGTAGGGAGTTTTGTGGAAGAGTGGGAGGAAGAATAGAGGGAGCTGGAGGGCTCAAGAACACCACAAGAAGACCTACAGAGGAAACTAATCTGGGCCCAGGGGGGCACACAGAGAACCACCAGCCAAAGAGCTTGCATGGACTGGACTTAGGCCTTTACCCATATGTGGCGGATGTGCAGGTTGGTCATTATGTGGGTCCTCTAACAATGGGAGTAAAGGCTGTCTCTGACTCTATTGTCTGCCTGTGGATCCCCTGGCTGGAATGCCTTGTCAGGCCTCAGAAGGAAAGGATGCACTTAGTCCTGCTGCAACTTGAGGTGCCAGGGTGGGTTGGTACCCTGTGGGTGATTCCCCTTCTCTGAGAAGGAGACGAGGGGTGGGGGAAGGGGAGCATGAGGATGGGATTGGGAGGAGAGAAGGGAGGGGATCAGGTTGTAAAGTGATTAGATAAATAAAAATAAAGTAAAATAAACCCCACACTGTACTTTTCTGTTCTCATGCAATGCCCAGGCCACAGAGACTTGTTTCTTCACAGACTTCAAGTCTGTGCATACAAACGGCACGGAATACTGTGATAGGCCTCTGTGGATCAGCTCAGGGAAACAAACACAACATGCTTCCTGGTTTTACTTATCTTGAAATAAATCTTTTCCTCCATTATCCCACACTATAATTACCATGGAAACAGAGCAGCAAATTAAATGGAAATAACATGGTTTATGATGCAAACAATAGATGAAATGTCTCACAGTTCAAACTGAACGGTAACAATCGTATAATACACTCTCATATAATTTCTGGCCTGGGCATAGTGTCAACACTTCAGGGTAGAAGAAAAGACAATTAGAGGTGATCTGAGAAATATATATATGTGTGTGTGTGTGTGTGTGTGTGTGTGTGTGTGTATGTGTAAAATCTCAATTGCAGAAATTTAATACAAAGTATTATTTGTTCGAAATTATCTAAATAATTATCCCAATTATCTAGTTTGCTGTGGATGCACAGAGATGGTTTTATGGTGATAATTACTGAGATTTGTACAGGGACTTTTTATATAATAAAATCAATAAAATATTGAGATTGAAGGAAAAGACTACATTATGAAGTAAAGTGCTTTGCCTTAAATCATCTTTAGAGCAAAAAGCCCTTCTAAAATATAGCTAGTCAAATACTTCATAAAACCACCTTGCACACAATGTTACATGTATCAGTTTAAAGTGGGCTTAAGAATTATTGCAGAAGGCTTTTAATATCTACTCACAAGCTGAACTGTTCAATTAGCTTTCTCACAGGCTCTGTTTCAGGGAGGTTCATCTGCTTGGTTGGGAGGCAGAACTCTTCATGGAGCTTGAGGTCCTGTCTGCAGTTTGCAAGGCCTCTCACGTGTGGCCTCTGCCCCTTCTCCTGTGCTATGGGATGATGTCCTAGCCAGGGACAAGGACCCACCACCTTTGCTGACTGCCTTCCAGCCTCTCCTCACAGGCTCCAGAAACTCCCCTTCTGTGACCTGCCCTGTCTCCTGGCCTGGACCTTTGGTCTGCTGTGTTCTGCTCCTTATTAGTTAATACCACAGTATACAATTTTCATAACTTATTTTGGCTTTTAGATTCATCCCTTGGCGAGGGACCTGGCAAGGGTTAATGACAAAACTGCTAATTTTGTGGCTTTTTCCTATTAGACAATTTATTAGCCAGACATGAAGCCATCTTAATGATTTAATGTTTCTGATTACTAATCTCTTCTTGGCTCATGATACAAGAATTTAAACCATGAATTCACTTTTAAAAAGGTTTGTTTTCATATGTAAGTGTTGTGTGGGTTTATGTGCACCACTTGTATGCAGGTGTTGGTGGAGGTCAGAGGGAGTCAAATCCCCTGAAACTGGAGTTACAGGAGGTTGTGGGCCACATGATATGGGTGCTGGGAACAGAGCCCAGGTCCTCTGGAAGAACAGTCAGTGCTCTTAACCGCTGAACCATCTCTCCAGCCCATGTCTTCACATTTCAGTGTGTATTCTCATATAAAGACAAACTCCATTTATTAAAGTATTGGTATGTCATTAAAATTAGTTATATATTAACATTTCTGGGTCCCAGCACTCTAACAATCAGCTTGTAAATAATCCTGCAACTTCAAAACACTATCTTTTAAGCGCAATACTTAGAGCATCTTAACCAAATTCCATTATGTCTCATAAAATTTCTAAAGTGATGAATAGATTATTATTCTAGAAACCAAATGCTTTGGATCACCTGAAAACGCTTCAGATTTCAAGTGAGTGAATATTAAGACATCATTCCAAATAGGGGTGAAAGACAACAGAAGTTAAGAATAGCATTGTTTAGCTCACAGACTGCTTAAATCTTCTTCAGTTCCCAAGAAGAATTCCTTACTCTGTGACCTTGACGTTTTGTGGAGAAATTTTATTTCTCCTTCTCCAAATAGTTTAACCCATTGGTATGTAAAGATAACTTGAGTATTTTCTGGTTAACTTATGCCTGACAAACATGATACACTCTACATGCACAGACCCACACATATACATATACACACACATAAGCATATATATATATGTACACATATACATATGTACACACACATGCACACAGATGTATAAACACACAAAAACACAGATGCATATTTACCATATACATACCACACATTCGTATACACACACGCAAACACATTTATACACCATGCACATACACCTCACATATTTGTACACACATATGCATACACACGTGCATAAACACACACACATGCACACACACACACTTTTGTGTATATAGCTTGTTACTTGGCTCCCTGAGCTGGGTTGGGAGGGACCGACCTCCTCTTCCACTGCTGGCATTGGTGGGAACTACCTGCTTTCTGCTTCTCCACTGCTGAGCTCAGAGAGTCCCCATGTCTCTCCTCCTCTTCCCCACAGTGGGTTCTACATGGCAATAATTTATTCAGGACATTTGAAAGGCTGTTTCTTTTCAAAACCAGGTCACTGAAGAACACCGAAATCAGGCGAGGCATTAAAACAAATTTAATGAAACTTTCAGCAAATGCAACTGGCAGGGCACAGCTTTGCAGTAGGAGCAGTTGTCCAGGCTGCTTATTAAGATAATCTCCCGCTGAGCCTTTTCCCTCATCTCGCCTCTGTCTCCCACTGTCTTGTTTTTGTTGGGCACTTTTAATACACGCTGTAATGCCTGACAAAGGAAGATTAAGGGCCAAAACATTTTTTTTTTTTTTTAATAACAAACTGCATAGTAATGGCATGGCACCTCACGTGAGGCCTCCAGTGTTGCTCCAGTGAGTGAGGCAAGGAGGTGGGAGCCCAGGCCCTCAACGACTGGCTGACATCAGCTGCAGCCAGACAAGCCTTCCCCGTAACTTTAGGGCTGTGCTTTGCTCTAGGGAGCGGTAGTGGAGCGCTTTGTGAGGCATTTCCACCATGGCACCCCACCACAGTATCTGCTGGTGTCTCTGGAGAGGTGTCCTGGGAGCATGGGAGCCACATAGCTCTGAGGTGGGACAGTGTCCCAGAGGAAAAGTAACCTGACACACAGGAGGCCAGGAACCACACAGCTCTGAGAAGCCTCCTCAGCAGAGGCATTGCAGCTCGGAGAGAGGATATCCCCGTCTGGGCTGGAGCGCTACAGTGTAACAGCTCTGCCTTGCTCTCCTCTTCTGCAGGGTTATCCCCAGCTGAGCTTGAGGCGCTCAGGAGCCTCAGTCCTGCTCCACCTAGTCACCATGCTTCTTTGCCTCCTTGCTTCTTGACTTTTTCTGAGGAGAGAGTCACACCCCACAGAAAATCTCATAAAAGAGATTTATTGGGACAGATGAATCCAGGGATGGCTGCCTCTGCTCCTGAGAGAAGGCAGCAGGGAGCTGAACAGTAAGGCAGGGCTTATACAGGATTTCTTAGGGGGCAGAGCTTTCCTGGGCAGAGATTTCCAGGGTGAGGATTGGTGGGATTTCAAATCCTGATCTTGAGGGAGCGTAGGGATTGGTGGGTTTTACTGCTCAGGTATTGGTGGGATCTTTTTCAGACTTTTCACCTAAAATTAGCATAATGGGGGGGAAGGTTCTGGAGAAGACCTTTGTGACAGTTACAGAGGGTAGAAATGCTATTATGACAGTTAAGGGAGGTTTAAGGGAGGGGTTTGGCCACTTTTCTGCCTTGAGGGTTTACAAAGTTTACAAAATATACAAAATTTATTGTCCATTGAGTGAACAGCCAGCACGGAACAGTAGGCAGGGCTTATTTAAGATTTCTTAGGGGGCAGAACTTTCCAGGGTGGAGATTTCCATGGTAAAGATTGATAGGATTTCAAGTCCTGATCTTGGGGGAGCGTAGGGATTGGTGGGTTTTCCTGTTCAGTGACTGGTGGTATTTTTCTTGTAGGGTGGGCTCTGGGCACCTTCTCACCTGGGGCTGGGAATGACCGTTAAAGCCATTAGGGAAGTCTTGGGGAGGGGAGGGTCTAGCTGCTGAAGCTCCTCAGGTGGGGGCCTGGCTGTTTTCCTGCTGTGAGTGTTTACAGAGTTTACAAAGTATACACAGTTTACAAAGTTAGCAAAAGGAGTCCAGCTTCAGTCAGCATGAACGGCCAACAGTATTCCCACCATGGCACCTCCACCCAAGTATCCTTATGGCACCTCCACCCAAGTATCCTCATGGCATCTTCGCTATGGTGCCCCCAACTGTGACACCCTTACCAAAGTACGGGCACCTCAGCACCCTGCCCTTCATTTCCTTTCTCCACTACCTAGAGCAGGATTAATTCTGCACTTTGGAGAGACTCAGGATTAGTTTCAAGTAGCATTAGAATTGTTAGAGATCATCTTTGGAATTGGAGATATGGTTCCAATTCTTAGAAACATTTGTTGCTCTTGCAGAAGAGGAGGGTTTGGTTCCCAGAACCCAGACATGCTTCACAACCATCTGGAACTCCAGTTTCAGGGGATTCAACACTGTCCTGGCCTTTGTGGACACCAGGCTTGCACATGGGGCACATACTGACATACAGACAAGACACAGATACATAAAAATAAACAAATCTAAAATTAAAAAAAGAACCCACCCTCCTAGTTCCTAGAAGTTCACTGAGATGGTGAAGGGGAGCACTGCTCTAGAGCCTTGAGAATGTTGAACAGAGAGCCCCTCCCCTTTTGGTCTGATCCATAGATTTTGCTTAGCTACCAAGATGAGCCTGACATCTGCTTCTCCAAACCTCAGGTTCAGCCTGGTCACCAAAATAATGCATTTTAGCCACCATGAATTATTAAAGTACTAATATTATAAATACAATTTATTAGTAATAATATTAGTGAGAGCGATCAACATTTATGCAACTACACATGCTTCATAGATTCCCTCGTACAACCCTCATACCCTACGGACAAGAAAGCATGGAAATATTGATTGGTGTTCATGCTAAGTATCTAAGAATTCTGAGGACAGGTTGAGTTGTAGTGCGGTCTGGACCTTCTTAATCACTTGAAAGGCTCACATCAGAGAGATTTGGTGAAGGCAACATAGCATAGCCCTTCTCGGAACCCACCATGTAAACTAATGTCTTCATGGATCTGAGAAGTTCTTTGGAAAAAGAGTTGCTTTGCTAAGCGTGTTGTAAGTTTGGGAAAACAGTAATGGGCCTCCAGAGACCCTTCTGACTCTAGAAATCTTTTGTTAAGAGCTAATTAGCACGTTTCATTGCTAACACAGCGACTCAGGATGTGAACTAAGACATTTTAGAGATCAAGGGAATAGAGAGAATGGACAGTGTCTACTCATCTGTGTACTCTACTCTCTTACTGTCCATAGGACCCTTGCTTACGGGAGCCAGCTGTTGGTCACCAAGGCAAGTGACAACACCAAGTTTCTGTGTCATGGGAGGACAGACAGAAGTGATAACTCATGTTTTCTGTTTTGCTTTAACACCATACCTAACAGAGTAAGTTCTAGTTTTCTCCATTCTCATGCTAAAGAGTAAGATTACTTGTTTATTTGTGCAGCACGTCCTCTTGAACAGCAAATGAAAATCCCCCGGGGACTCTCCGCCCAGATCACTGCTGTATCTGGCCGTCTATTGCCAGTGTGTCCTTCTTATCAAATAGTATGCCCAGACTCCTGAGCTACCACTACCAGATAAAATACAAACACCGGAAGAAGCCATCATTTTACTTACACACTTCCCCCAAGGGCTTTCTAACTGTCTGTTCCCCGTGGCTGTCTTTATGGCATACCTGTCTCCGTTGGTCTCCATTTTCAGCAGGCTCTGGCAGGCATATGCTCCTGCTTCATGATAGCTGCTCTCATTGGGCCACACTGCTTTCCCATTGACATGGAGCTTTGCAAGATCGCTTCGGAGCCTTTCGTTTTCATATTCAAGTTTGCTAATTGATGAGTACCTCGAATGATCCTTGTTATCGAAGTCCATACTCTAGAGAGTAAAACAAACCCCCACTGAATGGACCTTACACAGGAAGTGCATTTTCCACATGTCTGGACTCAGGTTGGCAAGGCCCTTTCCTTTGAGCTGGGTGATGTGCTTTTGGTGAACTCTTTGTTCCCCCTGAACATTTTAGATGTAAATTAAATTATTAATATTAATAATATTATAAATTAATTAAAATATTTAAAAGACTTTTAATGGCTGCATGAAGAGGTGTTAAGTTTATTTAATCACTCCTGTTCTTGAAAATAGTCTGTTTCAAAATCATCAATAGGGCTGTGACTTCCTCACACACAGACCTTCACTGGCATTTCTTTAGAAGGCGAGGTTAAACTGAGTGAAGGTATTTGAGGACCTCAATGGGAAATGTTATCCCTCGATCCCCGTCACTCTCCTACATTCAAGGCTAGAGAGGTGGCAGAGAGGTTATGACCACTTGTTATTCTTTCGAAGGACCAGAGTTCAGTTCCCAGCACCCACACTGGGCATCTCACAATCATGTAACCCCAACTCCAAGAGATCTGACACCCTTTTCTGGCCTCCAACAGCATGTGAACACACACACACACAGACTCATACATACACATACACAAACACACACACACAGACTCATACATACACATACACACACGTATAAGTAAAAATTAATCCTTAAAACAATCTCACAAATTCCCACCAATAATAGACTAAATGTCTTATTTTGTTACACTCACAATTTAATATTACTCTTTTGTTAGATTTGCTAATGGTAAATAAACAGTAACGGTCATCACTGAAGTTGACTATGTTTTCATGTTCTTTTTGGCAGTTTTCACTCTGTGTTCTCAGTTGCTTCTTGCATTCTTTGGCCATTTTCCTACTTAGGAGTTTCTGCTTACTAATAGCAAAATACATTTTAACACTAGAGACAGAAATCCAGTGTTTCTCCATTTGGTTGAAAGTATGTATTTTGTGTGATTTTTAGAGGACATTTTTAAAGTTTGAATTGTGGTGTGTGACATGTTTTTATCTAGAAAGGGACTTGTTGTAGTTTAGTCAAATGTTAGCTTTCCTTTGCTCCTTCCTCTTTGCCTCACAATTTTCTTTTTTTTAAGTTATTAAATATTTATTTTCACTTCTATTTGTTTTATGATTTCATTATTTCACATTTAATTCTTTAGCTATTTTGAGTTAATTTTTCTATAAAACAGAAGACAATAAAAATAATAAATTATTCCAATTATTTAAATTGCATATTGATTAAAACAGTCATACCCCATTGCTGGGTGATGTAACAAATTACATGCTGAACTTAATGTGCACTGAGATTGAATCTGGACCATTTTGCTGCATTGATCTTGCAGCTGAGGCAGAGCTAAGACTGCACATTTGGGATAGTGTTGTTTCATAATAGAGTCTTGCTACCTGGCTTATTAATGCCCCTCCCCCAGAATAAAAAATAAAATATATTTGAACTACAAAATGAATGGTTTAAATAAGAGGCTTAGAGATTTCTTTGGCTGTTTTAATTAACCACTGTAGGAAGTTTCCAGGGCAGGTGTATGTGTGGGCATGCATGCGCGGTTTTCTTCTCCTAAAGATTTGAAAAATAAACTCTGTTCTCATCGTTCATCCTGTGAGTTGAATATCCCAAGCTGTATTGTGGCTGACAGGCTAGCAGGTCTTTGGGATCAGAAGGGCAAAACCTTAGCACAAAATACTTGACTCACAAAAAGCAACACATTGCTTTTAAAGTTCCAAACATTTGGGATTCGAGACCTAGAAAACTAAACAGTTGGAGCATAGACAATTCTTTGTTAAGTCCCTAAATTTCCAAGCTTTGAGAAGCATTTACATGGAATGACATTCAAAGTCATTCCAAACTTTCTCACATTTAAAAATAGCTGTATAAGGACAATCATTTATATTGTCATATTAATGTCAATAGAGACAATAAGTTTATAAACACACTTATGCAATATGTACATATAAGCTATTAAAATGTTTACTTGTTTTGTGTCAAAGGCTATGTCTACTTATTGTCTTCTGAATACTATAACAATAGTCTTCAATAGTCTTAGGAAATGCAAAGGAAGGTCTGGTTTCTGGGTGATAACTCTCAGGAGGGCCTCTAAATATCTTACTGAGACCTGGAGAAACTCAGCCACGAGTGACTGGCCCAGCTGATCTTTTTCTACTGCTAGGGGGAGCTGCCCACAAGGCAGTGCCCTGTAAGGGAACTTCTCATCTCTGCAAGGGCATCTTGGATCAGCTTTCTTCTCTTTGACGGGAGGAAGCAAGGAGCCTCAGAATTAGGCAATTAGAAGTGTTCTCAAATTTGTATTTATTTAGATAGGAGTAATCTCAAAATCAGTAACTTCCTAGTCTTGAAAGGAAATACTGGAGCTGGATAGTTCAGTGAGAGGTAAGAGCACTTATTACTTGCAGATGGTTGGTTCCCAGCATGCATATGGCAACTCCTAACTATCCTTAATTCTTAACTCCAGTTCCAGGAAATTAGATACCTTTTGGCCCCTGCAGGCAATGCATGCCTGTGATACATAGGCATACATGCTGACCCCAAACAAACAATCAAACAAACAAAAAAACAAAAAGAAAAAACAAAAAAAAAAAAAAAACTACCATTTTAATATTGCCCAAATATCACAGATGCTAGGAGGCTGAAATAATGATGTTATAAACTTTGTTTCTTTCTGCCTAAGGTAAGGTTTCAGTTCTAATAATTTAATTTTATAATTATCTATTATTGTTGAAATAATTATCTGGTTATGGGATTTTTTTGCACTTATAGAATTTTAGTACACACAGTAGTAGAGTTTTCTTCATTTCATAACCTTTGAAAAATATAACAAAGTAAAATAAACCAGGAATAAGAAACTGATAAACTCTACTAATAAATAAAATAGGGGGCTGGAGAGAGAGCTCAGCAGTTAAGGGCACTGGCTGGTCTTGCAGAGGATTCCACCGGTGGAGCGGCTCACAGTCATCTCTAACTCCAGCACCAGGGGACTGACGTTCTTTTCTGGCCTCCACAGGCACTGCACACATGGGGCGCACAGACATAGGTAGATGCAAAACAAGCATACACACAAAATAAAGATAAAGGTCAAACTTTAAAAGGTAAGTGAAGGGATTGAACCCTGGAAGCTAGTGTTTTATATGTTAGCAAAACAGATGTTGAGCCAAAGTTAAGCAAATGCAAGAGAATGTGTTCAACTGGCCAAGACCAAGAGTAAGAAAGGAAACTAAAACCAGAATTGGCCATGACAGTTCATATCTGTGACCCTGAAACACAGAAGGCTGATGGGGGAGTTCAAGGCCAGCCTTGGATAAAGCGTGAGACCCTGTCTCAGACAAGAAAACCTAACAACAGACCTTGGAACATGGGAGATGAATAAAGCTGTAGGATCTAACTAACTTCAGTTAATAAGGAAAAAATATTAAGTGGGCATATTTCCTAAAAAGGTACAGATTATTCAAAGAATCTTAGGACAAAACAGAGAGATCTGAATAAACCAAGAAGAAAAGGTAAAGGATGGTCTAAGTTAAGTTTGTTCCAACTTTCAGTGAACTCAGGCCAGCATTATTTAGTGGCCTCAGGACATCCCACATCCAGTGTGTGTTTAAAAACAGCATAACCTTAAAACAAGAACAAAGAACCATTGTCAAACCTTACTTAAATAAAGTGTCATCACACCAAACCTAAATGCCCTAAAACAGAGTATGACTATTATGGGTTGAATTGTGGCTTCCTACAAAAGCCTGTTGAAGTCCTAACCCCTGGTCCCTGGTAGTATGACCTTATTTTAAAACAGGAGCTTCATAGAAGACCTGAATTGAATGCCCCAGAAAAAGGGAAAATCTGACTCGTGAGAATCAGAGTGAGAATCAGTCGTGGGACAGGACTATAGACACTGAGACAGAGCGTTGGTGCAAGGCACTTTCCTGCTCATGAACATCAAAGACTGCCTCAGACCAGTGGAGACAGAGAGAGGACTCCTCTGCACAGAGGTCAGAGGGAGCACGGCCCCAAGGACATCTGTTTGGGACTTTTGGCTTCCTCTTGGAGTCCTATGTGAATTAATACATCCTGCTATTCTAAGCAAACACATTGTGGTATCAAGCTAATTTAGGGCCAGGAAGATTTATCTCAGGAACCCAAATTTGGATCAAAACCAGGAAATACGCTAACCATGGTCTCTAACACATCAACATGAAAGGTGAACTCACACAGCGCCATGTCCATTCAAACGGACACAGGATCATGAACGAAAAATTCATATCCCATAAAACTCCATGTGACATTATAGTCAGAAATTAAAAAACTTGCCAGCAAATACTGTCATGCTTGAGACTTTCTTGGAGGTCTTAGCAAAGACAGTGTGATAATGACAAGAACGGGTGTGAGCAGAGGAAAAGGAGAGGCAGACAACTAAACTACACTAGCATAGTTCCCTGTAGAAGGAATAAAATAAAGTGAACCTTCTTCAAGATGAGCAATTAGCTGCTTGATGTAGTAAAAGCAAAAATTCCATTTATAACAGTGATGAGAATTGTAAATAACTTGGGAAATACTTTTAAAGAAAGGAAACATGAACTATTCAAAGAAATTTGTATTGTTGGAAAATGTGTTATAAAGAAATGGGGAATCATGCTATATCTTATTATAATAAAGGCATTAAGTCTTCAAGGTTAATACAAAAATGAATTCAATTTCAGATAGAACCCACAGGAAATCACAGGGAGACACCTGGTACATTGAGCTTAGTCTACATGGAAATTTAACTGAGCAGTTACAGACTGCATTTCAAAGTACAGTTTAAATGGACCGAACAATTGGATGGAAAACATAAAACCTCTGGAAAAAATACAAAGGTGTGTATGTGAATTTGGAAACCCTGTTGCCAAAAAAGGAAGCTCCAAAGACATCCATCAAGGGAGGGTAACTTTGGACAAGTCAGGGTTTACAATTTTGTCTGTGGCAAAATACAAAATTACAGAAAACAGACTGAAAATGCTCCTACAAATTGACAAGGAAAAGAAGAACTAACATCAGGGAAAATATGCATAAAGTATATCTCGTTCATATTGTTACAAACTGAGAGTTAATGAAGGAGACAATGCCCACCTGTAGTCGGGGAACTGAAAATAGAAGTGCTGTTGAAGAAGATAGCATAGGAATAGTGCTGGCAATGAAACAGCGATAAAAGAGAAAAAGAAACAGGCTACGATGAGTATTAACATTGAAACACACATATCCTGTGAGCCAATGATTCCTCTTCCAGGAAGCTGCTCCAAGATATACGTGTTGGGATTTTTTAGAATGAGATATTTATTCAGCGAAACTATGAAAACATAGTTGAATACACTAGGGGGCTAAAATAAGTATGAAAAGACAGTATAGTAAGTTTTGGTATATCCACACCATGGACTATTATAAAACCACCACAAAGGGCAAACTATGCTTGAGCCAGTTGGTGTGGAGAGGAGCTTAAAGGCAAACAAAAATAAGACGCTGAAGTGTGATGGCACAAGCTTGTGAGCCTAGCTAAGAAAATTATATGTGTCTGTACACACAGCCTGTGAGTATGCGATGTATGCTAAGCACCTTGTGTGTGCAGGAGCCTGAAGCCACCAGAAGATGGCAGCAGATCCCCTGAACTGGACTCAGCAGGTAGCGCTGGGTGTGGAGAACTGAATCAGGTCCTTTCCAAGAGCAACAAATGGTCTTAAATGCTGAGCCATCCCTCTATCCGTGTCCCTGTTTATTTTTTGAATCATGTATATATACACACACACACACACACACACATATATATATATATATATATATATATATATATATATATATATATATATATATATATATATATATATATATGATAAGATGTGTAAACTTTCCTAAGGACTTGCTGACTTGTGCTGCTGTCCACACACAAAGCTGCAGGTCAGCTTTGGGCAACGTTTGAGTTACACACCTATTTTGGCGGGAGACTACCTCCCCACCTTATCTGTGCAAAAGGTCAGGAAAGAGCAACAGGAGCCACCGCTTGCTTGCCAGCACAGCGCCCTGCAGCCTGTGTGGGGCTTGGGAAGCAGCTGTGGGTAATCAGCGGCTGCTTTTCTGTATTTGTGCTGTTTAGTTCTTTAAAAAAAAAAAAAATCAAGTAATATAAATGAACGAAGCCCAAAGCTTACAGGAGCAGAGTGAAGCCCCTCGACAGGAATATGGTGACCTTGCATATATACAGACAAACACCTGGATTGAACTGACTGATGTATGTATGTATGTACATATATAATGAAAACACATATCTCCATGGAGCTGGGATCCGCCTTAACTTTTGTGTGCCCCATGTTAGGGAATAAAAAGGCAGAGATGACGGGCAGGTTTTTAATGTAGCAGATCGGGACACCGGCAAGCTTCCCTTTTTTATCCATCTGTGCTCCAATCACAGGGTCCACAGCCATGCTCAAGGAAGAAGGGAGAATGCTTCCAGACGCCTCTAATGTCTTGATGCTGGAATACGGACTCGTGTGAGAACAGGTGCAGAGAAATACAACATTGGCTTCAGAAGGGGCCTGGCCGAGCCAACCCACTTGCTCACATATTATGCCTAAAGGAACTGGTCAGCGTAAACAGCCATGATGCCCACATTTTCCTATCTTACCCTTTCTGCTCCTTGAACTGTTAAAAAGAAAAAGGGTAGGATTTTTTTTTTGTGAGTGAATAAAAGAAAATATAACAAATAATGCTATTATTTCAATATTTTGACCAACAAAATTTCTTCTACAAAAACCAACCAGCGACTGCTACATCAGACAATGGAAATGAAAGGCTTGGAGCCATTTAAGTTTGTGAGAACAGATAGAACCAGGGGCTAATTCATATATTCAGTCAACGAACACTGAACGCTTGCTCTATACTATATGTCCTGAGCTGTTGGTCATGCTTACTTCCTCTTTGTCATCAAGTTGAAAGGGACAAGCCACAAGACAGAGCCAAATATGAACCAAGAAAGGACAGAACAAATCTTTCTGATTTGGGTTTGCTGGGAGGACTTCACTGAGCATAAGATTGGCACTGAAGTCAGGCTGTCTAGGATATTGCGTTTCAAGCAACTACAGGATTAAAAGCCGGGAAACTGATGCTTTCTTTGCATGTCTGGGAAGTGATCAGAACTGAACCCAAACCAAATGTCCCAGCCTGGGCAAGCCACTGTAGGTAGGCAGTGTGCAGTTCTGGGCAGCTGGGCATGCTCAGTGACCATACTGACGGTCAGCCCTGGCCAGCCAAGCCACCTCCAGTTTAGTTTGGGGGAAGGAATTCAGCATATTACCAAGTACCATGCAGGGTCTAAATCGCCCATCATTCCTTTCAGATGTGTGTTTTCTGCTCTGATAGCTTTGTATCTCTTATCTGAGACCTGAAAGATTAGCAGATAAAAAGACGGGTGTAAAACTCACAATGGAAACTCATCATCTTGTTAATTGACTCTGTCCTGTGAGTGCAAATAACTTTTCTATGGCAGTGAGGAAAACACCCGTCCTCCCACTGGGGTCTCTCCCGTCCTCCCACTGGGGTCCCTAATTCCCTCTCCTGCTTGAGCAGTGCTAAATTTAAATATCTTAAAAATAATGCTTTACTTTTCACCTACCAGGTCCGAAATTCCATTTCTCATGTATAGGAATTATAATCAATTAAAAAAAAAACCCTTTTTGAAGACACTCTTGCCCATTATACTTCTTCAACACCCAATTAACTTTCACAGTAACCAGTATATGGCTTTCTGGGCCTAGTTTGTTCCTTCTGGTGTTTTGGCCGTGTTTCCTTGTGTGGCTATGAGTTCGTTTTGTAGCTCTTTCTTCTTCCTCTTTCTTCTACCTAATGTTGGAATGACAGATGCGTGCCTCTGCACCTGGCCTGCTCTTTTTTTTTTTTTTTTTTTTATATATATCTAAGGCTTATTTCTATAGAAAACTCTTGTTTTAAAAAGATTTACTTTTGTAAATTATAAAATCTAGGAAGCACGGTGCTATGAAAATGAAAACGAGAGCCGTTCATGTGCCCCTGCCTCTGTGAACACCCTCCATAGCACTCTGCTGTGCAGTGCCCTGTGCTGGTTCCCTCTGTGTGACACAAACTGGCCAGTCGAAGGCCTGTGACTGGGTGAAGGACCATTTTTTCCCTGTTTTTGTAAATACACACAATTTAACTGCTCTTACGGAAATTGTCTGGATTCATGTTTTGTACTCCAAAAATCACCTAGATTTAGAGTCAAAGGGTCATAAAGCCAGTGCTGTCAAAAGCAGGTTACAAATTATTAGTAAGAGAGTAAGGAAATTTAAAGAATAGATAAAGAGGGAAGGCAGGCATAGTTTCCCTGGCAGTGCTCACAGCGTTTTAACGCAGAAACTCCCAATCTCTGCTTGTATCTGAGGACCCTGGCATGTGTTGATGGGATATTTAGTAAATAAGTAGTGATTTTTATCTTTCGGCCTCCATGTTTAAAACACTAACAATGATCTACTAAATTGGGGTAGGCGGTCAAGAAGGCTGGGATTTTGTTCTAAAAAGAAAGTGTTAGTGGATACACCCTATGGAAAAAATTAAGGAAGCAGGGCACAGGTGAAGTGGGAAGTCAGTGGCAGGAGCATGTCAGCACAGACTGACCACTCACGCGTGTGCTGTCTGGTAGGTCCTAGAGTTTCTTTGCTGAGCCTTTGTCCGTGGCACAGGGTTTTATGGGGTACCACGGAAGCATCTCTGAGGGCACGTCTCAAACATGAACCTGGTGCCCAAGCCTTTGGACAGTTGAGGGGGTGGGGGCTGGGATGAGCATGACAGCCCTGTAGAGTGTGCCCCTGCGTGCCTACCTGTGGCTTTGCTAACATTTTTTCTTTTATTTCTAATTCTATCTTTAGCTGTCTTTCCAGAAGGGCAGCTTTCTTCATGACAGTTGCTATAGTGATCTCCTTCTGACGAAGTTCCTGGGTGAGGTCGGAGATCTCGCTTCTCATCCGCTCGTGTTCAGAGCACCCGTTTTCCTCCTGATACGACTGGCTTCTCGTCTGCAGGGAGAGTGGTGCAGAGACGTGAACAGCCCCTCACGACAGAGCAGCTGCGGCTTCTGCTGGACTTTTAGTCCTCCTGCCCTAAGAATGCCTGCGGCCCACAACCCCCACTTCTGGTGATTCCTGATTGACAAGCAAGCGGCACCCCAAGCCAGTTTCCTCCCTACCCCAAAAGCCCTCCGCCTTCTTGTCCTGTGCAAAGCGCTACTGATGACTCAGCTTTCTGACAGACTCGACAGAAATTGTTAAAAAGTACTTTGTTTTATTTTGTTTTTGAGGCAGGGTCTACCTGCACAGCCCAGATGGGCCTTAGCTTTGGATCCTTATGCCCTGGCCTCTGCAGTTCTGGGATTATGGGTATACACCACCAAGCCTGGCCATGGGACCTTCTTATGGAGAAAAAAGTGAGCTAAGGAGAGTAAGAAACTTGCTCAAATCATACAAAGAGTAAGTGCCAGATGCGAGACCAGAGTTCACGGTTCTCGGCTTTAATTAAGTTTTTAAAAAACTGAGAAAATCGCAAATCCTGCTGAGGCAGCTGTGGCTCCGCACTGTCTCGGAAGCACACTGTAATGCCCTAAGCTTCTGTGTTGGTAGGAATGTCTCCCTGGCCTCTAGTGACGCCTTGCAGTCTCTTGTCTTCCCATAACAGGGCCCATTGGACCTGGACTCCTTACCACCCTCAACTTTTGAAATCCAGCTGGGCATCAACCCAGTTCACCCTATCAGATCCTCTGCTTTCTATTCCTGTCACTCCCACCTTGGCCAAACTCCCCAGCATCATTTTAAAGACCCCACTCGCTGCTTCTCACTCTTGAGAGTCAGAGATAAATTACAGTGACCGTTCTCTCGGAATACACCCATATGCAGCAGGGAGAGAAAAATAAACATATTTATAAGATAGGGTAGTAATTGGTATTTGAGGGATCTCCTGGAGGGTGCCTAAAACAGCTGGGTTTGGGGGGTGGGGCTTGTATCAGGATGTTCTTCCCAGGGGCGAGGTTATCAGACAAAATACTGAAGGGTAGGTGGAAGCTGGAAAGTCAGGAGAAGTCAAGCTCCCAAGCAAAGAGTGCAGCCAAGGGTAGGGACCAGATTGCCATGTGCACTGAAGGAGCTTGGAGCGTTCTGATCAGCTGTGCTCCAGGAAGTAAGGCCAGAGGGGGAAGTCAAGAAAATCCGTAACGAGGCTTATATGAATGTCCGCAGAAACTTAAAACGTGAGAAGTGACTATCTTACATTTTTCCTTAAAAATTTAGTGTACATCTCTGAAGGAATAAGGGTCTCTCTCCTTTTTCTCCTTGTCTTTCCATCTTTCTTCCCAGAATACCATTTATCAGTTCTTTCATATCACCAAATATTTTCAGGCAGATTCAAATGTGAAATTGTCTCAAATCTTCCATGCTTTTCAGGTTTGTGAAACTGAAGTAGGATGTCACTATGCTACCCAGTCTGCTTTTTCCAGCCCACTCTTTGTATATGCTTGTTCTTCTCATCCAATCCCATAATCTCTTGTTCTAGTTACAGTTCTCATGAAAGGCTGTCACGTTCTCGGACCTGTGCCCCATCCATTGTGGGTTGCACACCGGGACAGCCAGGATTCAGGAATGATGACCTAGTGCAGAGGGGACCTGTGCCCGGGGGCCAGTCTGCTGCATCCCAGGCAGGCTGCCATCATTCCTCATCTGGCCCTGCCCTAATTGCTAACATTAGAAATGTGACTTAGAAATCACACAGTCTTAACTTTGCCATCCAGCAAACAGGAAACGGGGGCCTGTTGTCCAGCTAGCTCCCCAAAGTAAGAGTCCCAGAGACGGGACCTAACCCCGGAATACGTTATAGGTCTCTTTAAATTGCATTTGTGTGTGCTTGCACTCAGATGTCACAGCACACATATGGAGGGTCAGAGGACGCACGGGTGTTGGGCCCCTCCACCCACCATGAGTTTTGGGGATGGAACTCAGGCCATCAGGCTTAGCTGTGCAAGCCCCTCTATCTACTCAGGCCATCTTGCTCACTCCACGTGGATCTCTTCGATTGCCCTCCTCTGTTTTTTCTCTTTATAGCTTATTTGGTGAACCAGCCATATTGTCCTGCAGTTTGAGAGTCTGGATTTTACTGTTTATGTCCCCATGGTATACTTTAACATGGTCTTCTTAATAACGAAACTCAAAAAATTAAGAAAAGGAATGTGCTATTCAGAAAGAAGATTAAGGTGTTTTTTTTTTTTTTTTTTTTTTTTTAATTAGCTTACAGTGGTTAGATATTAAAACAACATGCTCTTCCACGGAGCATGTTTCTAAATGAGACTGATTTATCTGGGCTTTCAATGACAGGGCATTTTTTTTTTTCTTAAATGTGAATTTTATCACAAAATAAGTGACTAAAAACAGCTCTGTACCCACAAAAGAAAAACCACTCAAGATTCATAGCACATGGCCCTTGATAGTGTTATCACAAGGGGATGGAAATGCTCTTTACAGATGTTCTGGAAGCAGCAGCTAGTTATCCTGGCCGTCAGTACTGACCGGCCCAGTGCTTCTGCCTGGGCCTCTAAGGAACCTGGGCATCTGGGGACCCTCCTCCACCCAAGACTCCCACTCAGAGGATTCTTGAGTTCACTCTGTATTTCTGGCTCTGTCAGAGCCTCTGAGGTCCAGAATGCTGTAACCACACATGGCTCTAGTTACTCCTTTCACCACAATACAGTCTCTTGAAATGTCAGTGAAGAGCATCTTTTGAAAGTTATGTATTTCCATGTGTAGCCTTGGTTGTCCTGGAACTCAGAGATCCACCTGCCTCTGCCCCGAAAGTGTTGGAATTAAAGGCATGTGCTACCACCACAGAGCTGAAAATTATTTTTCAAATCAGCAAAATCGGTTTTATGGGATTATGTGGTATCAGTGTTTAAAACAGGAAGGAAATATAATTGTTCTATAACACATTTTCTATGCTGGACTTGCATTAGTTCTTAGACTGCTAGCTCTGCAAGGATCTATCTTTTAAGGGGATGAAGAGTAGAGACAGGGTCTTGATATGTAGCCTAGACTGGCCTCAGGCTTGTGGAAATCATTCTGCCTCAACCTCCATAAATGTTAGGATTATTGGTATGAATTACCACACCAAGTCAAGATCTTTCATCCCAAGGTATTTCCACAAAACTGATAGAATTGTTACTTGGAGGGACTCTTGGTTGTAGGAGAATGAAGAACTTAGGCTCCATAAGAACTGGTGCCCAGACCCGCCCAGACCCTCCTCATCGAGGGTGTTAGCTCCTGGTAGAGGGCTTGGTACTTGCTAGGCCCTCAGTTAGGAATGTGGGTGTGGCTCAAACCACCAGGAGCCCACAGCTGTTGGGCCTTCCTCTGAGCCAGGTCTTGTTCTAAGTATGTAACTTGCATTATTAGCTCCTGAATTTTAACAGAGGCAAGTATGTAGTCTTTGGGATGAAAGAGCCTACATTCAAAACTACTATTTACCAATTATTATCTGTGTAATGTGGGGGAATTTACTCAACTTCTCTGAGTTTTAGTTTCCTCAAAGGCAAAAAGAGGATGCCATAGAACCCGTTTTATAAGGTGACTGTGAGGACTGACTGAAACAGGCTTTGTTAAATCCTTGAGTTGGTTTATCCCTGGCATATGTTAAGAGGCCCAAGAGTACCGGCATTTCAAACCCGTCACAACCTCAGTGTGTTGGAAGTTGTGTAGCTATTTCCTGGAGCTGAATCATTTCCTCCAGAAATGAGATGAAAAAATTCCACCCAGAAACAGAAAGCAGAGCTCATAAGGCTCAGGAAACTAACAAGACATGCCGAAAGGTGAGGCCCACAAAGCCCATGCCCTGCTGTGAGCAGTGACGGTTGCTGGGACCCGGAGGTTGCAGTGGAGCTGCTGCTAAGCGCTCCAGGGGTGCAGCTGCTCCGATGCAATACCCCTCCTGCATGGGCGTCTCAGGGATAAAGCTGCCTTCGGGTCATGCATGATTTTGAAGTAGGCACACCCCTCCCCACCCTCGTTCTGTAGGTGATGAACTCATTGGTTTACCAAATGAGTCTCTAGTCGTACCCTATCGGGAGTGAAAGACATGTGTTCACAACTCCCTAGAACAAGTAATCCAAGCAGTACTAACCCCATCCTGGATGAGGACCCTTTGCAAGGAATGCAGACAGGTCTCCCATGGGCTGAGCACTTGTCTGGGCTCTCTCAGGAGGGCAGGCCTCCACATTGCATCAGCAGTCTCGCCCAGGCAGAATAACTGAAGATTTCCATACACACAGAATATCAGAATTATCTGCTTGGTAGACTAAAACTTTTGGAGAAAATACAGCGGGAAAGAAGGGAGCAAGAAGGAAGACTTTAAAGCCAGTTTTATACAGAGACCTTAGAGCTGGGAGAATAGATCTCAACATATTCCATACCTTGTTTAATTCTTTTTCATGATTTGGTTGATCTGAGACCACTGGAAACTCTTTCCTTTTCCTTTCTTGTTCTTTTGTAGTAGAAGGGGAATATGATGATTCGAGTCTACAAATTTAAAAATAAAGCAGGCAACACTTAAGCTTTCCTTGGTGAATTGGTAATTCTGTTATTAGTCTACATCACTGGAAGCTGTAGAGATAGATCACTAAATGGTTGACTAGTGCTAGCTACCAAAATTGCAAATGCTAATAATTCCAGTCCTGGGAACTCACTCCTAGTTCTCTCTAGGAGTGAGTGTGGTTTTAATGGGAGAAAAGGTATCAGTCAACAGGTGTTTCAGTCATACATTAAAGTGGACATAATTCTGAAATTGCGTATGTAGATAAGATTTTTTTCTTTCCAATTCTTTTATTCTTTTTTTATTTTTAATTATACTTTATTTACTTTATATCCCCCCTCTAGTTCCCTCCCTCCTCCCCTCCCAATCCCTCCTTTCCTCAAACTAGGATCAGATGGAAGAAAAAGAAACTCTCCCTTACCAGTGGACTTGGGGAGGGGAGTGTGTAGATAAGATTTTTAAAGTTTATTCACCTATGTATTTTGTGCATATAGTACTTTAACTGCATGTGTGCCTGCACACCAGAAGAGGGCGTCAGATCCCATTATAGAGGGTTGTGAGCCACCATGTGGGTGTGGGAATTGAACTCAGGAACTCTGGAAAAGCAGCCAGTGCTCTTAACCACTGAACCAATTATCCCTCCAGGATGAGATTTTTGAAGAAGAAGAAAAGGCTGCTTCCTATAGCAATCAGCATGAGAACCTAACCGGAAATCTGCTCAACTTCTGATGCATCAGGGCAAAGAAATATGTCAGCAGTGCATGGGGCACACACAGTCCACAGAAACACTGAAAATGATGACATTGGACAGTGTGGCCGGGGAAGGAGCTCAGAGGTGCCTGGTTTTTGGCTATTTACTTATAAAAGGAACTGGAAACCACTTGTTAATATTGGAGTTGGGCTGTGAGGGATTGGGGATTCCCAGGAGAAGGGCAACTCTGCCTGATGCTCAGAGAAGCACATGGGGTGGGGTGGGGTGGGGGACAGTTCCTCATATGTAAGCCTGAACCAATCACAGAGGAGAGCACCAGGAGGAAGGAGGGGAGTGCAGCAGCGACAGGAAGTTGGGTAGGCAGCTGTGACTCAGGAGGAATCACTTGTGAGTGTATCCCGCTTCTCAGAGCCATTCTGATGGTGTTAAAACCACAGTCCCAAATCTTAGCAACGGTGGAGAAAGAATTAACTTAAAGATTGGAAATAAAGGATCTCTCAAAAGGTACCGATTCATAGCAATTCCCTTGAGGTATGGGGGGGGGGGTTCTAAGCCATTTGAGCTTTCTGACCATCACAGTTACCCCTCCCCCATACACACACCTCTCCCACTTTCAAGTTTACTTAGGCCGACAGAATGTATGGGTGTAATCGCCGCTGTCATATGCTCATCCTGGAAGAACTGCCTTTCTGTGAATGTCATTCTCTCCCCCGTGCATACAAGTGATCAGCGCACACACTACATATTATTTTTTCTGTACAATCAGAGTACACACTATGTGTTATGTTTCCCGTATGACCAGAGTATACACCACATGTTATTTTTCCAATATCCTCAGAGCATACCCTACATGTTATTTTCCAGTGTTCTTGTGTTTCTCACTGAGCAATGTGTTATATTTTCCATTTCATCTAACATTCTTTACAAGCATCATTTTCCAAAGTAGTCTTAAAATTTCTCACTGAGTGAGCATTCTCAGGAGCTGTGGTTCTGACCAGACAGAGCACTCATTTTGTGGTGAACTTGCCAAGTTCAGTGAGTGAGCGGAGAAGCATGCAATGCCTTCGCAGACAAGTGTTAAGAAAACATGGTCACGCTAATGCAAATAGATGAAGGAGGTATGTGTTTTCTCTAAGAAAAGGACATTGGAATTACTTCTTAATTATGCAAAACATGTCATACCATGGTGCCCTAAAGAAGGAAATGGAAAAGCTAACAAAACTCGTTATCTTTGAGAAAGGCTCCGGGAATGATTCACTAACCACTGCGCCAGTGTGCTGGGCTGCTTCACCTCCGTAAACCATAAAGAAGAGGCAGAGTCCAAGTCAAAGAAACCCAAACAGACCAGACAGGCAGCAGCCCCAGAAACCAGACTAAGAGGACGTGAAAATCACAGTGGGAAGCTATAATGCTCAATGCACGACATCTCAAGTCTCAGTATGAGACATCTGAGCGAGTCCCTCCAAACCAGAAAGACATGGTTCGGAGACCAAAATGTTCATACAGTTTGACAGAGGATAGGGAAGAGATTGTATTGGTCATATATGTAGAGGCCTGTACTGAATGCTGGCTGTGTTTGGACTGAACATTATTAGTTTTGTTCTTTTGTGGCACTGGCTAGACTGGAACTCACTCTGTGGACCAGGCTGAGCTAGAACTCACAGAGAGCTGCCTGCCTCTGCCTCCCTAGTGTTGAGGCCTGCACTATAACACCTGGCCTGACACTGGCTTCATTTTTGAGATTTATTTTTATTTTATGTGTATGGCATCCTGCCCGAATGCATGTCACTGCACCGTGTTGAGGTGGGTAGTACCAGCAGAGGCCCAAAGAGGTCATTGCATCCTCTGGAACTAGAGCATCAAATGGTTATGAGCTGCTGTGTGACGACTGGGAATTGAACCCGGGTCCTCTGGAAGATCAGTCAATGATTACTGCTTGAAGAGCAGTAACTATTATCTTTCAGTAAAACACCCTTGATCATTTAGCTAGTCAGGTTTTTAAAAATCTCGTCATTTGTTTCACAAGCTTTCTGATTCTCCGAGGAATGTTCCACACGGGTGAATTGTTAAAGAAATCAGATCATCTCTTCAAAACATCAAACGCTGAGACCACTCAGCAGAGCCACTTTTTGGTGGGTGTGCAATATGCAACGTGTGCCTGCCGTCAAGGAGGAAAAAATATCTGTGTGAGTAGCAACTTTTCAAAAAGAGATTTTATTTTGAATTATGTGCAGGTGGGCGTGTCTGTGTCCATGAGTGCAGATGCCCACAGAGGACAGAGGCATCAAGTCCTCCGGAACTGCAGTTACAAGTGGTTGTGAGTCACCTGCCGTGGGTCCTTTGGAAGAGCGGCAAGCTCTCTCACCCACTGAGCCATCTCTCTAGGACAAGCAGTGACTCTCTTTATGAAGCTACAGGTCGCGAGTGCAGAGGCATAGGAACCACACTAGTGAAAAGTTTAGCATCAAGCTTATGGGCGGCCCAAGGTAGAAGCCATCAGAATAAAGAATAAATCGCACTTCTCTGCAAATCTATAATCCATCACTGGCTCTACACTGTTGTTTCCATCACTATCCTAAAGAATGTGTGTTACAGTGTGCACTTGGTTTCAAGGTTTTCGTTGGCTTGAAATTGCCCAAGATTTTTTTAGGGTCGGTCAGGAGCAGAGAGTGAGGGTCTAAGGCATTTCGAATAGGCCACCCCTCACAGTGTAAGATAATGTCACTGGCTCTAAGTTCCAAGAGAGTATGGACCTTGTTCATTTCACTCAGCACTGTTCCCAGTGCCTGGAACACAGTAGGTACTTAGTGAAACGATGTGAGGAGAAGATATCATCCAACTAGGCTCTCTCAGAGATAAGTAGCTGGCTAGCTCTGATAATGGAGCTCTCTGAAGCCCATGACCCGCCAATCAAAGCTTGTGTTAGTAAGTGTGGTGGGAGGAAAGGGTAGGAACTACAAACTAGAACAAAACTATGTCCTCCCTGGGTTCTGTGATGCCTGCATTTCGCTAACTGTACAGCCGGAAAGCATCTCTGCTTTGTCATTTTATTCTTTGAGAATTTCAGATAATATTTTTGATCATATTCTTTCCCCTCCCTTAAGTCCTCCCAGATTTCTCCCGAGTCCCTACCCACCAACTTCAAGTTGTCTATCTCTTAAAACAGACAGTCTCGGAGTTTGTTTTGTGTTGGCTGGCTGCTTTTGAACATGCGGCCTGCTGTGGAGTGCGGTGGCTATATGCAGTGTCACTCCATTGGAGAAAACCTCTTTCCCTCTTGCAGCACCTAGCAAGTGTGAACAGCTTCCTGGCTGGCGGTGTGCCTTTGTGTTGCTTACCTTCCTCTCTACAGGGATATTATCTGGCTCGAGGTTGTGCAAGTGTTGAGTATGCTGTCACGGTATCTGTAAATTCATATGTACAAATGCCTTGTGGTTTCTCAAAAACACTATTTCCTTGATGTCATTCACTACCCCTGGCTCTTAGCCATCCTCCCCCCTTTCCAAATAGGTCCACGAGCCTTAATGGAAGGGGTGTGACATAGGCATCCCATTTAGACCCTAGCAATCCCAAGTCTTTTATTCTCTGAACTTTGACCTGTTGTGGGTGTCTGTGTTAATACTATCTACAGCAAGAGAAAACTTTTCTGACGGTGGCTGGATGATGCATTGATGTGTGGGTATAGAAATACGCCACTGGGAGTCATTTTATGCTGTGTTTATTTAGCAGAACTAACAGAAGTAGGTTGGGACAAAACCCTGAGATGAGTTTCTCCTTCCGCTCTGCAGCTCCTTATCTGTTGGCCCTCGGAAAGCCACATGGTTGCCCAGTTGGCTTTGACCGATGAGGCTGGCAGAGTTGAGCTTTCTTCAACTCAGATGCATGCCTGGCTTCAGGAAAAGCTGAGCCCCTACCCAGATGGTCAGAGATCATCTGGAAACCGTGGAAATAGATCATGGACATGCATTTGCTAGTGTTGGGTAACTGTATTTTCACTGACTGGGACTCCAGATAAACCTGGGTAGAGCAGGAGATTGTGAAGTCATTCATTCCTTATCCTTCTAATTAGAAACACAAACGAATCCTCCCACAAACCCAGTAAAGATGGTTTGGGAAATTACAGCCTTTTCTTGCAACAAGTTACACAGTTTCAAAAGACAGAAATAAAAATCTCCTGCATTTGAATAGATAGAACTCTGTAGTTTATAAGCACTTTTACCTCTATAATACAATTTGAATGAGAGAAAATAAGAGAATGTGTGCTAAACTTTATTCTAGTTGAACTGTGAAGCCCTTGAATACATATATACTTTCTGCTTTGAGAAATTTCTCTCCAGTTGTCCAATGTGAGAACTGTACCTTTTCCTGTTGTCTTGAGAAGCGTGCCATTCTCCCATTTTCAACAGTTCCCTATGCAAGTGCAGTCTTTCCATTTCTATAATCCTCAGGAGATCGTCACGTGATTGTAACTCATTCTTCACCTCTGACAGTCCTGCTTCCATGGCCTGCGTTAATAAATTTTTGATGTTTGCATTAGAATTATGGTGCACGATACATTAAAAAAAAAAACAAAAACAAAAACACAACAAACCTTAATATCTAGCTCTCAAAACAGCACAGGATATTTGGTTACCCAGCAGATCCCACTGCTGAAATGTATACTCTTCTAATTGCAAGATTCAGGAAAATCAAGCCTGGCTTTCTCCCTGCTGGATAGCTTTCACAGTGCCAGAATGTGCTACACAGGCTGTTTGGGGAGGAAAAAAGTCCTCAATGGTATTGCCCAGTGGAAGACGCTGCCTGCTACTCACATGCCAAGGCAACTTGTGCCTGCTAGTGTGATAGTGGCATGAAGCTGTGGAGATAACCAGTCACATTCTGACTGCATTTGAGGCTTGCTCCACAGGAAGGGATTCATACCTGGGACTGTAAACCTAGTCAAAAGTTCATGGACAATGGGAGATCACAAGTTCTAGGCAAGAAGCTACTCGTGTTACTCTGATAAATAGACATGTTGGTAAACTTCCTTCTAAATCTTTGCTTGGTCAGGGGGGCTTCTTTTTGCAGCAGGCAGTGATTAACTCAGAAACTTGTTACTGGTCGAAATACTGAAAAAAGTCACTGTGGATGCTTAGCCTTAAATGGGACGTATTCTCTCCCACCCCTTCCAGGCTCAGGAAGTACTGTGGCAGGGAAGACTTCAGAGTCAGAGGATGAGCAAGAGTGTCCCTGTCTCTTTTACACACACACACACACACACACACACACACACACACTTCCTCTTTCACACACACACACTCACACATATGCTTACACATATTCCCTCCCCTCTCACCCACACACACTCACACTGCCTTTCTCTCACAAACACAAATTCACACACTGGCTCACACACACTTCCTCCTCCTAACTCTCTCTCTCATACACACATACTCACACTCTCACACACACTCCCTTTCTCATACACACATGCACCTACTTACACTCCCCCTCACACACACACACATACACACACACTCACCCTCTTTCTCTCACACACAAACACTCAAACACATTCCCTCTTCCTCACATACTTTTTCTCCCTGTCTCATACATACACAAACACACATTTGTTTACACACACTCCCTCCTCTTTTTATCTCTCTCTCACACATAGGCTCATACACATTACCTCCCCCCTCTTACGTACACATACTTTCACACACTCACACACACACTCCATCTCTCTCATACACACACACTCACACACATACAAACACATACTTTCTGCCACACACATACTCACACACATGAGAGTAGAAAGACTTGTTAGAGAAAAGGATGGATACAGTTGGAGGGAGGGGAACCTGAGAGGGTAGTGATGGGTGAAAATGAACAAAATTCACTATATACATGTAAGAAGCTGTCAAATAATTTAAAAATTAAAAAAAACCACCTATAAATCAATATATTTAATTTTAAATAAAGTGTGTTTACGCTTTTGCTTCCTTTGTCTTGCAGAATTCCACTCTACCTTTCACTCACTGGACAAATCTTCACTGAGCTCCTACTATGTGCTCTGAGGCACAGATACTCATTGACCTCAGAGTGCTCACCACTCTGGATAAAGATAAAGAACAAATGATCAATGACCAAACCACAGCCATGTGGTCACCCCGTGTGTGAACCTGATGCAGTAAAGTTTGAGTAAAGTACAAAGTGTGTGCCCTAGTCAGTGCTGGTACTGCTGATTAATAAACTGGTAAGCAGATGGCAGATAACCTCATTACCAAAGCCACATCGGCTTTTCCAGCAAAGCTGGCAAGAGATGAGTTAGGAGGCCTCGTTCCCCTCCTGCCCCATGGCAGCCAAGCTATACTGAAGTAACTAGAACCATCAGCGAATCCATAGGAGTCTTGAGCAGTTCAGAAGTGAAGGGGACAGGAGAGAAAGGGTATTCTGGGCAGGGTTCCTCAGAATGTGGGCAGGAGGAGCCCAAAGCACAGTGAGAGAATCTGAAATGAGACCAGATTCCTCTCACAGTAGGAGGAAAAGAGGTGTATTTCTGCTTTTGGACAGGGGAGCTTCAGAGCCTGGCTGTCTGTCGTTGGAGGTGGAGGGGTCAGGAGTGGGGTTATAGACAGGCCTGCTGGCATCCCTTGGCAGTGCTGTGTACATACTTCAGGCTCATGACAGTGGCTGGTTGGATGATATTGGCAGTTCCCTGGGAATCAAAGGGTACTACACTGTATGTGGCTCCTGTTGCTGGTTTCTTTCCCTCAGTCAGTTTCCAGGCTTTATCCATGCCACACTACATCCCTTCCTGCTTATGGCTGAATTATATCCTAGTATATGGACATGGCACATTCTGTTCTGTTCATCAGTTGATAGGCACTGTGGCTTGGTTCTCCTTTTGGTAATCGTGAACATTCCTCTTAAATGAGGAGAGTTCTCAGGAGTTTTTCTTAAAACAAAACCCTTCAATTATAATTCTTTCCCAAGGGCCTTTTGGCCTGGGTTTGGGAGGGGACCGATTACAATACTTAGCCATACACATTCCTTGTGACTCAGAAATAAGTATAAAAACAGACTCAAAATGATGTCTTATGAGATCAGTTTAGATGCTCTCTGTTTTGAACAGTGGGGATTTTTCAGATAGAGTTAAAATCTCAAAATCCATAGAGACACGAAACAATAAATTATGCAGTAGAAAAGCCATTTTCCTTCATGTAAATGTCTTCTGTTCTACAGGTGGAGGAGGGCAGCCCGGGCTTTCAAACAAAGCAGCAGAAAGTGGGCAAGTCTTTTCTGGGGGAGAGAAGTGGGGAGGCCCCTAACTCCAGGCCCCCCTACCCCCAGGACCTGTAGTGTCTGACAGGAGTGCTCTGTTCTCTGTCACTAGAAAACATCTCTCCTGTGGTGACAAGCATCCAGGAGAAACACACTGTTAATGATCCAGGGACACAGGTGTGAGAACTTTAGGATGAAAGCATTTGATTGCACAAATTGGTAACAATGGTTTGACGGATAAGTAGGCAAAGCAGGTTGTAGTTGAAAGCATTATGTAAACTGGCTGCAAAAGTATAAAAACAATTGGAAGGATTTGTTGGTATTAATAAATCTAGAATTATCTTCTTGGCTTTGGAATCAATAATCCTGAGTTGACATGAGAATTACTGGATTTTTAAAGCCAGGATGTAGTTTTGAAATTGGCATAATTTTGCATGAAAGTCAAATCAATTATTTGCAATGTGTCAAATATCTGGGAAAAATAATTTTGTTATTGGGACATTTTCAAGCATACCTGGAACAATTTAAGCTCTGGAAACTCCCTTTAATTGGGATAGTTTGTGAAATCTGAATGTACATCAGGCATTTAGCACTGGAATGCAGGCATGTTGTACGTATAACATATACTCAGATTTTTGATGGCTTACTATGAAAATAAGATATATCATTAATAATTTTTACATATTGATTACATTTTAAATGACAATGTGTGTTTTGGCACATTCAATATATATATATATATATTGAATAAATATACTACTTGTAATAAATGCACTTATTTCTCTATCTTTATCTGGCATGCACAAAGCCCTAGGTTCTATTCTTAGCACTGCAAAAACTGAAGGTGGTGGTACATACCCCAAATCCCAGTCCAGGAAGTGGAGGATGAGAAGTTCAAGGTCACCTTAGACTCTATAGGGAGTTTGAGGGCAGCCTGGGCTACGGAGACTCTATCTCAAAAGTGAAAACAATGAAACAAAATAAAAGCCAATAACAAAGGTACCAGAAAATTAAACTAGATCCATGGTTGGGTTTTACTTTTCTTGCACAGCGTTGTGCTAGTTCTTAGCGATATATTAACAAGCAAGTGAGACTTTAACTTTCCCAGCATAGATGTTGGGAAGATGCAGAGCCATTTATTTTTGTCATTAATCTCTGGTGGAGAATACCGCGCACTTAAAAACACGAGGGGCGTGTAGCATGGTAAATAAACATGTGCAGTGCGTATGTGCGCTGACACGTTGCAGGGTTCTGGAAAGACAGATGATGATGTGCCTTGGGAAGATGCAGACACAGCTGCCATCAAAGTGTGCAGCAACATATTAAATGGCAGCAATTTAAAGAGGAATAGTTGTCTTTTTGTATTTGTATTCGAGCCGTGGAACGTTCTGTCAGGTGGCTAAATAGAGAGGGCATTTTTTTTTTTTTTTTTTTTTTTTTTTTTTTTTTTTTTTTTTTTTTT